TAAAAGCATAACATAAGAGCACCTTAAAAAGTTCTAATTATGGATTCTTGTCTTATATCTCATGGAGAGCAGATGTGGCAGAAAGCTGTAGCAATAGTCTGAGATGCCTCCAATGCAGAAGTTTATTAAAAGCAGCAAAGGAAAACCTTTACCTCACATAAGTAACAGATGCTGTTTATCCACTGAATGCCTACTCATGGTGGCAGTGAATGACTTAGTTTATATTAGCTAAACCAAGAAGGCCTGTATTCAATAAGCCTGTAAATAAGGCTAAATATTTAGTTGATGCAACTTTCTTCTAGAAGATTTGGCGATGAAAGTGCTGAAATGCACTTATTGAAAATTAACATAAATTAAATTAGGATTTAGAGTAATTAAAATGGATGGGCTACAGATTATAGGTTATTATATTATTAGGTTATTATAGTCTGAACTAGTGAACTGCAACCTTTCTTGCTCCATCAGTTTTATCAGAGCAATGTTTAGCCTAAGGGCTATAACTAGGTAACTACTCATGGCCTCTAGTCAAAGGAGAGGGCTCTCAAAAAGGATCTCAAAGATTATCAGAGGCTTCTTGTGCCAAGGCTGCTCATCACTCATTGCTCAGAGCTCTCACCTGTTCTGAACATTTGTTATCTGCTCTGCCATTTGAGATCTGGGGTCCATGGTTTGGAGTTCTTGAGGATTACACAACATACCATTCTATGGATGGCATCCAAACATGAGGCATCTTACTTAGCATCGAAGATCTAGTGTTATGAATAATATATGTTTAGGAGGCTGAAAATCAAGCAAAATAGATCACATGTAATTCCAGGAAAATATCTCAAAGGCCATAGTATAAGACTGTTTTATAAGATGAATTTGGAAACTCTTGTCTACTTTGCCAAACCTATAAAGATAAGCTGAAGTAAATAAATAGTGAAATAGCCTATTTAAGGTCTTTGCATCTTTTGCAAGTTTTAAATGCTTTCACTGGAGGCAATGCTTAAAGTTGCTTAGCACTCAAATTATTTGCAGTAGTTTTTCAACTACAGCATCCTTCAAAGGCATCTGCAGTGATACATCCAGGAACGCATCCAGCCATTCCAAGCGCTTAGATGTCTCATGTTTGGATGCCATCCATAAGAAGGGATGTTGTGCAATTCCTAAGTTCTAAGAATTCCAAACCGTGGGTTGCATTGTGAAAGTTCTCTTTAAACTTTGTAAGTGAAATATGTTGTTAGAGGTATCTTCCCTGAGGATTACTGGCAAACACCTTGTGTTTAGGGGGATACCACACAATTTAGACAGCACAGACAGGATGTCTCTTTCATTCTAATTTGTCTTTGTACATGGTTTATAACATGCCCCCAAATTACTTCTTGTTGCGCAATTCTTCATGCTTGTTCTACTCTCAGAAGTGAGTCTTTTTCAAAGGATTTCAAAGAAGACCATTTTAGCTCCAAGTGTGCTGGGCGTGAAAAAGGATTGTTTTGACATACTTTTATGCTCTGGTTGCTCCAGAAGCATTTAAATCTGAAAACTGAAATTGTGATGGGAAAGTCTCAGCCTCTCAGATAAGGTGTTACAAGCACTCAAAAACAACATTAAAAGGACATGAAGGCTGTAAAGTTAAGCACCTGCCAAAAAACAAATTAGGCAATGATAGAACGAACATTGATAGTGAATCCTTAGTCCAGTTCTGCTCTGTGTATAGGTTATGACAATTTTGAAGGGATAGGGTACTATTTTTTTCATGTACTTTTTCTCTCCTTGTATTGTCTTTCCTTTTTGCATCTGTATTATCACATTTTTGTTTCCAGATACTGTTTTCTCACTCAGTCATTCCTTGCTTTATCCTTCCAGCTTTATCCTTCGAATTTCCACCCCATCCTTAACATTTCCTTGCCCCTCACATTCTTACTTCACCTTCACTCCCGAATGTCTCTGTCATCTTTTTTTTTTTTTCATTCTGCTGTCTTATATATTTTTCCTGCGGTTGGCCAAGAAAAAATAAAGCTCTAAGGCATGACAATGACAAAATCCACATCATATTTTATACGTACTTTTCTTAAGGTGCAGAGAAGTGATTTCTATGAGAATATGTTTGGAAGTAAACTTTTGGAGGAGGAGCTAAGTGGAACTCTTCCAGACTGTTGCCAAAGTCAGCTGTCTCCTATACGTTTCTCTTGTAGCTCCTTTTGCAATGCCATGTGTTTGGGAATTTCCAGCAGGGATTCAGCTTCTTTATTTCAATTAAAGTTATGCTAAGTTTTTTAAGACTCTGTTAATAGATGAAGTTAAGATGTTAGAAAGGTCTTTTGGAGGATGCTATCTAGAAAAAAAATCAAAGATAAAAAATATAGTTAGTATTCCTCACATATTTGTATTTCACATGTGAGCATGCCAATTTTCTGTGCTACTCCTCTGTGAAACAAAGTGTTCCTTTCAATCTTACTTGCCTCATGTGTTCTCCATCCTTTCCCTCTATTTTTTTAATAAACTGACTTTTTCTGTGGTCTCTTAAATTAGTTTATGCCTTTGGGAAAGATTACTATGTTTATGTGGCATCAACTGGAACAAACGTGCAGATTCAAGGGGCATCACTGGTCTGCGCTCTGTAATCCTGCTATGCCAAGAGATCAATATGCTGGGAGGTGTGAACATACTGAGCAAACCAGTGAATCTATCTGACTGGGTGAATTTTAATTTAATTTGAGAACTTCCAGAGATTTCTCACTGATACTGCAAAAATCTGACTTGCATTCCTAATTTTCTACACTGTAAGTAGATCTAGCTAATTTGTTCCACAGCTGTTTCATTTGCAAAGGGGGCTGTCATTCTGTGTTAAATAAAACTGATAAAGATGGAGCCCAAGGAAGGTCTGTGTAATGATGAAAGTTTGTTCCAGTTCAAAGCTGCTGTTGATATTGTGTGTGATCCAAAAACCCTTGATGCCAGATGCAATGCTTCCATTGATGTAATCAGATTTCAAATCAGGGCTGGTGTGTTCAGCCCACTACTCTTTTAACTACTGCTCTGGTTCTTGATTCTCTGGGAACTGGAATGAGTTGTGCCAACAGCATTTAGAAAAACACCATTCCTGATTGCCCTCTGCCTAGTACTATATGCAACAGATGCTCACTCCCAGTTGTATAATTCACTCTGTTTCTCCCCCTAGAATGTAATATGAGATTTTTTTTTTTCTTCTCCAGTGTAGCCTTCCTTTTAATTTGTTTTCCCCAGGACAGATGTGCACTGTTTTGTGTAATCTACAGGTGTTGTGGACCTGATCTGGGTGACCTTCACTGCCCCTAAATCTGAGCTGCTGGCTCATTCAGCCAGGAACTGATTTCTGGATGGTTTCTTGGGACTCATTAGTAGAGCCTAGCTTGGTGGGCTCATCATTGGCACCTTCTGTACTTCTAAAAAAAAGATAAAAGGGAATGTTTTGAAAATCCAGGCAGTTGTATGAAAGATAATGGTTAAATCAGGTTTAATAGTGATCTGCTCTGGCATTATTGTATGTTAGAGACTCAAGGACCAAATCATGGTCTTGGCAAGCCCCACCAGAGAGTGACTGACCCTGGGGCTGAGAGCAGTTCCCTGGGAAAAGTCTGGAATTGGAGGTCTTCTGTTTGACTCCACTTGTCAGGGAAATGTGCCTCATTGGACAGTCTCACAGCTGAATTGTTTTCTCGGTTGCCTTATGATTAATATTAACCTTTGTTGTTGCTGATCATACTGGGTTTTTTTTTTTGGTTTTTTTTTTTTTTTTTTTTTTTTTTTTTTTTTTTTTTTTTTTTTTTTTTTTTTTTTTTTTTTTTTTTTTTTTTTGCCTCATCTGCCTGTTTTTTCCTGGCTTTATCTGTCTCTGTACTGCTAAAAGTTCCCGTTTTCTCTTCCAATTTACTTTTAGAGGGAGCAGTATGGAGACCCCTGTCAGCTAATCTGTCTGCTGGTTAAAAAATGCTGCTGCCCTTAGCTAGGCAAAGTCTTACATCAACTTGGTGGGCAAAGATACAAAAATACTTCTCCTGCTGTCAGAAAAGAGCAAGTATTTCATTCTTTCCAATATGCAAGTGTTTCTTCTATGATTTTTACCAATTGTTGATAGCAGTTAAGCAGTTATGGTAAAACTTTGCTTTATGGACTGTGTACTATTTTGGGCTCTGTGCTGGTGGGTGAATAATCCTGGTATAAGTCACTTTTCTATTCTGAAACTCTTCTCCTACATATAAAAGGAAAATAAAAATTCTGGCTGGCTTTCTGATATGCTTTGAAATCCACTGCTAAAAAATGTTACTTAGAAGTTGGACATTATGATCTATAATTATAATCAAACCCATATGAGCATTATGCATGAGAAGACAGCATGATAACATATATGGTTGTGAGTGTAAAAAACCCAGGAAATTCCTCCTTCTGCTGTAGACAAGTGACAGTGGAGGCATTTTTAAGTACAGATTCATTATGCCAGTAATGCAGAGAACCTGGAGAGGTGCATTGCTACTTGATAAAATTCCTTCCCATATTAAATTTCTCTGCCATGATTTTGATTAGCATAATCCTTTGATCTAAATATGAAAATATCAGCAAAGACATGAAAACTGAAATCAGGTTTCAGAGTTGACTGTCCTGCTGTACTTTGTGAATGGCATTAGTTGGTGGAAGTGAGTGGGACAGTAGGAATTATTACCCCCAAAAATCTAGAATGGTACATTAGAGCCCAACTTATTTTTTGGAGATTCAGCTTTCTGTTATTTATGCAATTTTTATTTGTTTTGAAGAATTCTCTCCTGGACTATAAGAACCTTGGAAGTTCTTCTGGGCATTAAGTCACTTCAGGAAATCCTATCTAAACCATCAGCTTCTTACCGGCTTACAAAAGTAAAAATGGTTTTGTTATCTCAAACAAATGCACATTGTTACAGTTGATTTTAAAAATATTTTTAGCTTGTGAACATACCCAAGTCATGAAGTGGGAACTATGAATCTTGGTTGTTTTATGATTTCAGGTGTGTGAATTGCATAGATCTGCACGCAAATCTATAGATGAATAGTTTCAGATCTACATCCAAAACTCCAGGTGCTCCTTTTGCTATTTTCACTTTCCTTGCTGATATTGCCTGGCCACCTCAAGACACTCCAAGGACAAGCTGCTGTATGAGAGACCTGCATTATAAAAGTAGGTTCATCAAAATGAATGTCTTCTCCCTTACTAGATTTTTATTTTGGTATTAATTGATTTCAACTCTTGGCATCAGTGCAGTACATTTAAAACTCCTCAAATCTCTTGACTTAATTTAATACCTCTTACAAAGGATACCCCCATATGATTTTTTAAATGGAAACAAAGTAACTGTAATGATTCCAGCTCCTTGGTTAAAGGAGCAATAGGGTTGCAAATTGCACAATTCATCAATCTGAAATGCTTGTTCAACTCAGTTCTGTTCTCCTCTTTGTCTGCATCAGGATACTGACTTATAGTATTTCACTTGTATAAAAGATCAGAACAAACCCTTGTTTGCAAGTGAAGTAGATTACACTCAGTATAAATCAAAATAGTAAATTGAAGCTGAGATTCTTTCTTTTTTCTGAAGTACAACCCTTTTTGCTACTGAGAATAATACTAATATAATGACTACAAGGTAAAACTTGTAGCTTCTTTGAGGTCTTAAAAGAGTTGTGACCATACTGTGTTAAATACTTTAAAAACACCTGAGGGAGTGTTGTGAATTTACCTGAAGGGGGATCAGGACTGGTGCTGGGAACACAGAACAACTGGACTTATTAGAACACCTCTTATAAATTTGGTTTTTATTAGTAGACTTGAGATGTTAATGGCAGAAAGCTATTTCCTCTATTAATTCACTTATTCTTCTGTGGAGGTCGTGCATCTGCACACGGCGAGAGCAGCAGTGAGACACTAACACCGCAGTACGTTTACTCAGAAGTGAATAGTCATCCTGGGCACAACTGTGTTTTCTAGCAAGGTGTTTGGAAACTCCTTTGAGGTACCTGTAATCAGGAGGTATATGTCATGCCTGTTGTTCCTCTCTGCATACAGCAGCTCATTTCCTCTTTTGGCAGGGTCAGAGTAATCCCTTCACTGGTTGATGGGCACATTCATCAGCCTTTTGTCTTAAATTTTCCAATTCCTGGGAGACTTTGCATGTGCTATTTCATGGCACATACATTTCTCACAGTTTTCAGGTGATGGTCCCTCCATCCAGATGTATAGATCCCTTGTCCCCCTTCAGGGTTGTGGGGCAGGAGGATTTTGTGTCAGGAGCAGCGCTGCTGCCAAGCCTTCAGCTGTTACTGGGGAGACAGAATGTGAGTGGGAGAAAGGAAGACATGACCCTGTTGTGGAGGTGGAGAACTGGGCTACAGCATTTTGCTGATTTGCCTCACCCCTGGCAGGAAGCTGGCAGCAAGGCTGTGAACTGAGTCCAGGATGTCTGTCCTCTTGGCTCAGCCTTTCACTCTCAGGAACAACTGTCTCCGCAGTTTTCAGCTCCTGTTGCTCTTCTTGCTCTGCTGCGAGATAGGCAGTACAGCATTCTTGCTTTCCTGGATATACTGGCATTCTGGAAGTAGACTCCAGTGTTTGAGGAAAACCTCAAAATATTTGAGATTGGGTTTCTAGGGCGTGGTTAGCACACTTATTGAGACTCAATCTAAGCTATTTGTTCCTCTGAATGAACTAGAGACGTTTCTTCTAGTCTTTATTCCACAAATTGTGAATAGAAAAGGAGCAGCCCAAAGGAGATGTCAGTTGTCTGAGAACAGTTGCCTAGAAGAGTCCATTTTCCCTGTGACTTTTCTACTCAAGATATATAATTATTTAGAAGAAAAGGAAAACAAAAGGCTAAACACTCATAAGAAATTATATCCAAAAGGAAGACTCAAGAGGATTAGGAGAAATTATTATTGAGGCTGCAATTTATTATAATGTGTTTGGCTGAAGTCACTTTGCTTTCCCAATCCTTATCTTTCCACTGTTCCCCAGCCCAAATGATGAAAACAACAGTTGAGAAACAATCCCTTGTTTTTATTTCATGCTAGATATTGTTAATATGTCTTTAGCTAGCACTGAATATTGTATTTCAGTGTTGTCATGGTGTCAGGATTAGACTCTAATGAGGATCTGAGTCATGAGCAGGCCTAGCATTGTAACTTCATGTTAAACTTTTCTCTAGCTCTTTTTGTTACAGTCTCTGAAAGTTCAATAGCTTTTATAGATGAAAGACTGTGTGGAAATTTCTTTTTTCTTTAGGTAAATTCTGTTCATGGAAGTCACTGAACCAAAAGCCCAGAAATTCCTTTAAATGCCAGTAACCTCAGTAATTTGGAATTAGTCTTCACTGAGTTTTTCTTAGTTAAATACTGGCATATTTAAACCAGGTTTTGGTTGACCAAGGACCATTAAAATACACTTTGGGTTAGAACAGTATATTTTAAAAGATTTGACAGAACTGTTTCTTCAACTATTTTTTTGCTAATTGAAAGATGTTCCTCATCTTAAAAATATTCTTGGGACTCTTACTTTCATTTCCTGATAGACTTAGGAGTGATTATAATAATAAAACAAATAAACTTGTAAATCATACTTACATGGAAGACATTATTCAGAACGAGAAAGGTTAGATAATTAAACTCCATTCAATTAACTGAATGAGAATGTCTTCTTGAAATACAGGGGTGGATGATCTCTATATTTGGTAAGTAAACTGCCTATTGCTGATTCTGGGAGCAAAATAATAAAATAAAATTAATACAGGTATCTTTGCCCAAAATTAAATTTCCAATTTTATCACTGTTTGAATGTAGTCTTACTGGTTTTGAATATGCCTCTTGCAGAAAATAGTTCTTCTATTTATACATGAAGACCCACTAGACTTTCTGGGAATTTAAGGAAGGGAAAATAACACCAGAACTTGGCTGACCACAGTGCATGCAGTAATGCTCTGATTGTCAGATGAAATATGTTGGAAAACTTATGCAGATGTAGTTTGGGTTAGGAAAACTGTTGTTCTCACCTAAAAGGAAAAAAGAAATCCTTTGGAGGTTAAAAGTGAGAACAAATTCCAGTCTATTGTGAAAGATTTAGCAAACTAATGTCAGTTTAGAAAACCAGAATTATGACTACAATAGGACACTGATTATTTTCTCACATGTAATTCAATTGGGACTCATTGCTCAGAAAAGTCATATGGTCAATAAAGTCTTGTTCTGTTTAATTATTATAGAACAACTTGACAAACATCTGGGCCAATTTCCCCACAGTACCTCAAACTTGGAATGGATAGAAAAAGCATCAAGTTGATTTAATGCAGAGGTGTGGATGAGTAGTCAGAAATGGAAGGAGAAACGTGGAACAGTTCTATCAAAACCCTTGATCATGCAAAACAGGTAAGTATTGGACTACTTTGAAATGGTGAGATTATTTTTAATGCTGGGTCTAGATTTGCCTAAAGATGCAATCAGTAAGAGATAAGTGCCCTACCTCCTTAATAATTTGTGTGTCTTGAAATGGATTACTGGCTAAAATTCAGGTCTTTTTAAATCTGTGGAAGGCTGTGTTTGTGCTGGGGCCCTGAGGGCACTAGCAGACCTTAGTGACCGGCCTTATCTGGAACTTCTAGGATTAGTGTGTTTAGCCCCCTGTCCTGGATACAGTGGGGGAGAGCTGGTCTCTAGCACAGCTGCAGGCATGCCCTGCCTGCCTGGAGATTCCCTTTTTGCAGCGCTCAGCCTGTGCCCTGGCAGCTTGGCTTGAACTTGGACCTGTCTTATTGCATGGCATTGCACATGAATGGCAGGATACTGTGTCGGGATCTGTCCTGCTCCACAGCTCAGGCTGGGGACCAGCCCTGGCTGGTGGGACTCTGCCCACCTGGCCTTACAGTGAATCGTGTTCTGTGCACTTGTCTCTCAGTCAATCGGGTTCACAGAGATGTTTCAATTAGATCTGACACCCAACCATTAGACAATTAGTGCTAGAAGAGCAAGAGCACATGCACAGTGAAAAAAAAAAAAAAAATCTCATTTTTCTCTTGGATTTCACATTATTTGAGGGTTTTTTTAACCTAATTCTCTTTCCTGGGCTTTGGCTGTTTCAAAGACTTTCTTGCAGGCCTCTTCTATTACAGATCTTCATTGCCCATATTCTAAAGACCAGATATAATCTCCTCATCTATCTTGTGTGGCTGTTACTGCCTGCTGCAGCAAATCAGCACAGCTTTAGCAGCTTTAGATGGATATCTATGTAATCTCTTCATGGGCTGGCCAGCAGAATCCCACTACTCCAGTACACTGATCCTTCACATTCATCATGTGAATATTAAAGTACTCAGATTTTACTAATGGAACTGCTCTGGAGAGAAGATAATGAGCTTCAAGCAAAACAAACATTTAATCTTTGGTTTTGAGGTATTTGCTGAAAACATTTAAAATTGTGTATCTATCTGATTTTAAAATTTCCAAGTTGAAACATATATGGTTATTTTCATTAGTTGGAGAGCATGGGCAATAAAGTAGTATTTGTGTGAGGGAAGTTTCAGTGGAAGTTAATTACAGGTAATTAAGAGATAGACAAAGTATACAATAATTCATCCTAATGCCACAAAGTTAATGAGAATTTTGTGATTGGTTTCACAATGGACCAGGCTTCATAAAAGACATATCTGACTTTACAGAGAGGAAACTTTCCTCCTGTTTAAGCCAGTTTCATGTTACTAACATTTGCTGAAATTGTTTTTGCAATTAAGAATGTATGAAAAATTAAATACATACCAAATATTGCCAGAATATGGCAATTGTAAGATTTGGCTTTGTTCAATTCTTCTTCTTTTCCCGTAACTACTGGCAATAGCAGCTAGTATCACTAGCTCTCTGTGGCTGAAAAAGTCAACCTGATTGATGTGACACAGCTCAGTCCAGAGAAAAATCTGCAGTCAAAAACTGATCACAAAGTTAGTTATACAATGAGTCAGGGCACTGAAGAATGAAAATACTAAGCTGGCTTTTTGTGAGTGGAAGAAGGATATGCAAAATGTGCTTTCTCCTTAGGGAAGAAGCTATACATTTTGTAATGATGCTTTTCACTGTAAATGTTTGTTTCAAATCAATATATATATTAGAAATATCAGAAATTCTATAAAGTTTTAAGGTTCAATTATTTTAAATCAATAGGGCTGTAAAAATAAGCGCAGCCAATTAGCATTCTTTGGTTTTATTGCAGAGGAGAATTTTTTCTGATTTTTTTTTTTTGTGGATTTGGGGTTTTCATTTTGTTTTGTTTTGATGAAATTAAGACTTTCAAATTTGTTGGAGTGTGAATCTGTGAGAATTTGATAAAGAGGTGCGATGTTACATGGCTTAAGGTGCAAATGGACTTCTCACTCTTCTTGAGTTTTCATGCCTAATTTTATTCTTATTTAACAAAGCCTCTGGATTTTTAACTGTAGTTCATAACCAAGTTTAGGGTTCAGAACATAGAACTACTGGCAGCTGTATTTAAAAGGTCTGAAATTTGTAAGACAAATTTCTGCAGATCTGAGGAGTGAGTGACCACATGTGGACACAGGGCTGAAGAGAAAACGAAACCCATGAAAAGAGTGAGAAAAGTGGTGGCTGTAAGCAATGAGGGAGTTCCTTGGTCCTTATCACACTGAGTGGAGGTGTGAGAGGAATGGGCTTTGAAAAGGCTGAGATAAACCAAAAGCCAGAGGGACAAACATTCAGTTCCTCAGGAAAATAAAATCACTGGGGATATTTACATATATAAACTTTGGTCTTTTGGGGTTATATTTTCATATTTCTAACACATGAGAATAACCACTGCTCAAACTGAGAAAATCGCTCAAATCCTGTGGTGGAAGAATCAGCTCCAGGCATCAGCATTAGCAGAATTTACTTTTGCTAAATAAATAAAATCCACCTTAGCTGCCAAATAAAAATCATTATCACAGGAGTTTCTATTATGCTTGCTTAGTCTCTAGTGCATGGAGTAGATATTACTAATTTATCTCACGCTGCCCAGCGTGTGGCTGATAATGGCTTTAGGCAGGATCACAATGTGTGGCAAAGGCATGTCTCTGGTCTATGTACTGAGCCACTCTTGAAAGCACACCTCAGAACCACAGCTGCCATTCAGCATCCTCCCAACAAGACATCCTTGGCCTTCTGAATTCGCTTACAGCACCTGTTTCACCCTTTGGGTCTTCCTCAGGCAATTTGATTCATAAAACAGACAAACAAAACATATTGTAGATGCATTTATAATTTCTTTCCTTTTTTTTTATTCTTTTTTTCCATTTAGTCAAATTTCTTTTCTGCTGTGTATTCCTACCCATACAATTGTACAACCACAGTGCAGTGAAAAGTCAATTTTTTCCCTTGTGTGCATTTTTTTTTTTACTTTTGCAGTTTAGATCCCCAGAGGGAAAGGTATGCTATTTGTCTTAATCTTGTGTTTAATGCTAAATGTAGTCTGCAATGCAGAGATGGGTGCTTCTCTTTGTGGTACCCCTTCCAATTTATGTTGCAACTACTCAAAAATTATATAAAAATGGTGATGTACCAGCTGCTGGGAAATGATGTAAAGTTCCCATATTCATTCCAGAATATGAAAAGTTGCCCCAAGTATTACTCTCATTCATTTAAAAGGGCTTCCTTATTTATCTTGGTTCCAACAAGACAAGAAATAGAGTTGGTTTGTGTGTGTCCTATTTCAGAGACTGAACAACCCTGGAGGGACTAATTTTTCTGCCTGCTGTAGCTCTCTTGCTTATTTTTTTAGCCAGATGTCAAACAGAAGACGGAGAAAAACTTTAGGTGCTCTCAAGAATGATGGTAATAAGGGAAGATGATAGAACGTAACTGGATTGTACACTTGCAGCTGAATTGCTATTGATTTTAGAGAATGTAAAATCTCATTGCAAGACAGGCATCTCCCCAGCCCTTGGCAATGCTCTCTGCCACCTGCCTGTATGGGCAGGGTGGCTCCTCACAAACAGCTACTCTCTTCCCAAGATGACATATAGTAGGTAATTCTGCCTTTTGTACATTGACATTCGTCTCTCTGATTAGTTCTTCTCCTATTGCAACCATTAGTAGACATGATGTTGACTTCAGCTGTGTTGGTTGCATTAGAGCAACCTGGTGATGACTTCTTACTCAATACAGCATTGTAGCACTTATTTGCATGTTTGAGGGTTCTGTTGTAGATAAATGAGATACAGTCACAATCTCATAAACTGGGAACTAATACGAGCTCAGAATATATTTCAGAAACAGTTGAAATAGAATTCTTTTTTTTAGATTATTTTTTTCTTTCTTACCTTTCACTTGCAGAATTTTTTTTTCAAGGAAAGTATATTTTTCTTACCTAATTTAATTTTGCACATAAATAAAGAACCAAAGAGAAAATATTTTTGCCAGTGGTTTGCTTGTTTTCCCTATAGACAAAGATTTCTTAAATTAAAAAAAAGAGATTCATTCTTTATAAGAACATAGAACATATAGTTATTAATGATTATAAAAAAATTAAAATTTATCTGCAGTGTTCAGCTGCAGCAAATAATAGTGCCCAAGTTGCACGTTGTATGCCTTTATTACTATAAAGAATGTAGGACAAAGGGAAATGATGCTATTTCTGGTTTAACTTTTATATGACCATGCACAAGAAATGTATGTTGTTCTAAATTGTTTCTTGGTATGGGCTTACCTCAGCAATAGACCCTTCTGTTAAAAGATATTATTGTGCTGGATAGCTCATAGATGTCTCATAATCATATTCATGTCCTTTAGTCTTGAGAAAATATTTGTTTCCAGGCTCTATCAACACAAATTGTCTTTCTGTGTAGTGTATATATCTGCATAACTAAGGAAATATGTCACAAGTAATTCTACAGGATGTAGCTTTCATTTTCTTCTGTAGTGATATCAAACAGCAGTATAATTATGAGGAGCACTATGTAGGGATATCTTTAACTTGCAAAGACAAGGTGTCACATCTAATACAGAACAAATCTAATAGGGTAATAGAGTATGACAGCAGAGGGTTCAGACTCTGCGTGCTCAGTTACACACTGGAATACATGTTGGAACAAAGGAGGAGACAGGGTTCAGGAAGCAGAAATCTTATGAGATTTATAAAGCTATAAGTTTAAAAATTATATTCTCCTGTCTTTTTTATATGTCAGCAAAATTCTGGTGGCCCAGAATCTGAATTGTTGTCCAGACACCTTATTGCTTTATTATTGAACCCCAAGATATTAAAAAATAACTGGCTTTTATCTCCTACTTGTGTAGCCAGGTACCAGGTTGTGTTAAATGTACAGGTTATCTTCACCTGATCTTCACTTGTGCTCATTTTTGTGATGTAAAATTCCATGAATGTTGCATTC